GGTAGCAGCCATTGAGCCATGAAGAATAGCTCCATGTCACTTCACCTTAGAACACTAATAAGCTGTTAGGAGAAAAATCTCCCTTGGATGGATCCGTTCAAATCATCTGAGCTTACAGAAGCTGTAGGCCCCAGAAAGAGCTTTCCTATCTTTGTAACAAAGCACATCAGTCTAGTGTAGGTGGATAGAAAATGTGCACTAAACACAATAGCTTTTTCAGGCAATTACTCACACCATCCTTAGAGAAGCAAGCAGTTGTGCCTGTGCTTTTAGCACATCTGGCTTTATTCCAAATAATTTCCCAGAATACATAAATTATCTATTTTAGCTCCATTTTTCCTCTATATTTAGTTCTGTAGATAAAACCAGCCACAGACTCGTTTGCACAGTCTCAGAATGCAAAAAAGAAGTGGCTGTCAAGCTCTTCAACGTGTCTCTCCAATATTAGTAACTTTATTCTTATTAATGGTCTCTTGAAATCAGGTTTTAACACTGCTCAGAATTATGCACCATTTCTGAGAGTCCAACTTGAGGAGCTGGTGGCCTGGCAGTTGTCTGGAGCACTGAGAGGTGAACCATAGAACCTGCTGTCTTGAGCCACAATTGGGAGTACTCCACATTTCTGTGAGCACAGCTGCAGGATTCAGCCAGGAACAAGAACATGCAGTGGTAGGAATGGTGAACTTGAGCTCCAGGATCTTCTCCATTATAATCCAGCACATTTTTACAGGAAATGCAGCGGTTCACTTGTCAGAAATCATCTCCCACTTCAGAACACGAGGTAATGGTGCTTCCCAAGGGACAGATTATACAGACATTTTCTTTGGAAATTTAAGATGTATTTTTAGATTTAAAAAACACATACATTTGTAAACTCAGACCATTTCATTGACCTTACTCATAGCGCTGCCTCCACGAGAGCTGTGCAGGACCACTTGAAAAAGATGATTTGGAGAAAGGGGCAGGAGCAACTAGCATTAGTTTCTCAAATCAACTTCGCCATGAGAACATTTAGAGAAGTAGCAACCCTCTGAGATACTGCTTTCAGAACAAATGCACTCAGGAAAGAAAGTCCACTTTCTCTCTTACTTATTCTTAGAAAACCTTTTCATTAAAAATAAAGAATAAAGGGGAGGGGGGAAGAAGAATGCGTGGCAGATGAAAATTCTATCTCAAACAATCACAGTTTTGCTAGGATGATTCTGCAACACCTGTTTCTAGAAGTTGCACATTTGCTGCCTCTCAGGGTCTCTATGTGCACAGAGGGTCATCGCAGGAGCTGCAGCAGCCACCTGCCCACCACAGTCTCGCACCTGAAACACCACAGGCCTGGCTGCTGATGGAGCACGGGCCACAGGCCCACTTGCTCCCAAAGCCTGGCACTTTGACAAGCAGAGAAGGTATTTCTGACCTTAAAATTGCAGCCACAGTATGCTGTACTGCACACAGCAATCCCAGCCCACTTTTAGTTCGACTTTACCACTTCCTTTGGTGACCCATTCCTTGACAGTAGAGATTTGCACCTTACACAAAACTCTTGTAACTGACACCTCATTACAGATGCTGAAGCATTTTAGAGAATAGTGAAGGCTGATGAAAATTGTATCAGGTGAATAAGCCTTCACTATCTCCTCTATCTCAGAAAACAGAGGAAGCATCTCTGATTTAGTTCTGATTCCCTTTTGGTATTTATTTCCTTTCCCAGTTTCATTTCCTTTCATTCTAATACCTTTTCCATTCACAGTTACAGACCTGCAAGACATAAATAGATGTAAAAGCACAAGCCAAGACGCTGCAAACTGACAGAAATAAAAGTAGACCAGACAGCATGGAGGTAAATGAACAAAAATGGCCAGTTTATTCACTGGAACAGTTATGCATTACACTGTAATTTTAATTGGAACATAAAGATGTAAGAATCAGCATACTGGCTTTTTTAATTATTATTATTTTCTTCAGTATTAGAGTGTTTTTCCCAACCATTTGGCTGCATGATCATATTACACATGTACAAGCACAGACTTTATGAATCCTTCACAGGGCATTAATCTAGGATTGTCTACAAGGAGTTACATGGGAATTACTTCAATTTTCAAAAAACAAATGATGCATTTTCAGAAACAAGGATTATTGAACTCCTTTTTTTTTTTTTTTTTTCCTTTTAACAAGAAGTAGCAACAAGAAGAGTTTCCAATACTCAGTCTTCAGCAAATGAACAGACATACTTTTATATTCTTCACCACCTAGAAGCACTCCATCATTTAACCCCAAGAAGGCAGGGCAACATAACACCAATTCAGTGTAGGAGTAGCTGAGTTATTACTGCAGTAAACATACAGTACACAGATCTGTATTTGTCACAAACTCCACCAACATTAAAACTCTTGTGAAAGGAACACAGCAACCTGAATGGTTCGTTAGATACAGAACATCATGCAAATGATAACATTCAATAGATTACAAAAGTCACAAAACACCAGTTTTTTGTTTTTTTTTTTAAAGTTATTTATAAAGGATCAAGTTAATTAACCCTTTAACAGTCAAACCATAGGGTTGAAAATCAATGGGGAAATAACTAATAAGATAGACTTAGTTTATCCACTGGCATAGCACATCAGCCACACCAGTGCACAGGAAAAAAACAAACACCAACAAGCTAGATAACTCTTATTTCTTATTCACATCTGATTGAATAACAATTCAGCTATCAAATTAGTCTACCAAAAATTTTTAATCAATTATTTTCATTATTCCCCAAGTGTTCTTCAAATCAAGTCAGTATATAATTTAATTTACAAATGCTGAGGAAAAAAACCAACATACTCTTCGCTGCTATTTCTTTAACAGTAAATAATGATAAACTAAACAAATGTGGAGCTTCATGGAAAGACATTTTGAAACACAGGGCCTGATCATCTAGTGTCTACTTGCATGTTGACATCAGTCACAGAACATCACATTTTTCCTTTAATTTTGTTAGTTTGTCACATGGCTTTTAATAGATTTCATAAGGGTCTTCTGAAGAACAAGAAATAGATTAAAATCCTGTATGGAAAAGTAATAGTAGATAAGCAGGTCTAAATTGCACAAAAAAAGAATGATGGCTGCAATCCAGTCAAAGAAAGATTTGCTTACCCATCCCAAGAATCACGGCTTGCTAACTACTCCAAAAGGAGGAACCTCCAAGCAGAGATCCTTCCCTGGTGGCAGCCAGCCCTTATATGAGGTTAGGGAGGGGTAGAGCCAGGCTCCAACCCTTCCAGGCACACAGGTGAATTACTTCCACTGTGTTCTCTGGGCTGGCTGTGTCCCCTCACCAGGTGCTCAATCACCGGTTCAGGCTGTGACTAAGCAGTTCCCATACAGATCCAATACAGATTTAAGACATATACCTCAGAATGAAATATAAAGTCCTGCTGATAGCCCCCTTGCCTTTTTAACACAAGGAGTATGTAGATCAGAGAAGAAATAAGAATTTTCTGGCTTAATTATGGATATGGAAAAGCTACATGATGTGAAGAATCTCAAACACATATTTTATGTGCCTGAAGATGAAAGACAATTGTTGGTTTGGATTTTTGTTTCTTGTTTTTTCTCTTTTCCGTAGGATGCTTAATTATACTTAAACAAAAATAATAAATGAATAACAAAAAATCTTCAGTGGTTAGAAAAGCCTGAATGCTGGATATTCCTTTCAGACTCACTCTACACACAGCAAAGGAAAACTGAAGAAAAGTAATTGGAATTCTTAAAGAGGTATTAATAGTATTATACTTCATAGTTAAAACATCAGTGCCTGCCATTTTCAAACACAGATTTCCTATCTCCTAGGTGGATGGGCATTCTCCATCAAAGCAGGGAAACAGATCTCAGAAGGGCTCGTGTAATCTACATCTGATGATGATGACGATGGTGGTCAATCCAGATATGGCAGCACAACTCTTGTCATTGGCACTGCACGCTGAACAGTAAGGTTGGTATCAAAATAAGGGCCCAGATTTGCAGGTGTCTTTAGCAGTGTGATGGGAACTGGGCTGTGTTTTACAAACAGCTGCACTGCAGTATTTGCAACACACCTAGCATGAGCAGCCTCCACAGGCGAGGTCACATTTCCTAAGTTTATATTTCAGAACAGTCTTTTTCTTAACACTTGGATTTGGTAAATGGCTTAAACATGTTAGCAATCTTTTCTAATCCAAAATAAATCGAAGGTCGTCTTGGCATTAAAACTTGCAGTGTTACATTAGTTACAGTTCTACCTATGAAACCTATTGTATAGCTATGCTTATACTCATTTACTATGAGAAATGGGGATGGAGCAAGCACAGAGGTGCCAACCTGTCAATGAGATCAATCAGAAAGAATACCACTACTGCCTCCACTTAGAAGCCAGAAACATCCACACAATCAGCATGAGAAATGATAATAGTTCCTCTTTCTGTTAAAGCCTCCAATAACCTTCTGATAGAAAATATATTTTCCATACTATTACATCTTACAATTTATATTTATTTATTCATCTCCCACCCCCCTTTTTTTTTCCACTTCTATACATACCCTACAAACTGGATATCCAGAATTGTGCCATTTCTCTGAACAATGAAAAGTTAAGTTTCACTAAACAAGAAATGAAAATGCCATTTCAAATCCAAAGAAATTTGAAAGCCGTCACAGAGAGCAAAAACTTCATTTCAGATATGAAAATCAGAGCGGAATTTGAATTGCTTCCTTCCCGTGCAGGACACATTTCAGCATTTCTGAGCACGCTCAATCAACCAGTGGAAAACATATGTATCCTTTTTACTTACTATTTAGAAATCAGTGTAGATGACACCCCACCATAAATCAATTTTAAACGGGCAAAGAAAGTATATTTTGCAACTCAAAAAAAAAAAAGGCTTTTGTGTCTGTTTTTGTCTGTATGCAAATATTTCCTACAAAATGGTTCACAAAGTTGCCTACTATCAATCACTACATAAAAAAAAGAAGAGTTTATCATCTCAAGTTCAAGATATGCATTTTATTTTGTACTGGTTAACTGACAAAAGTTGTCCCCGGGGACCTACACAGTTTTATAACTTACAATGCAGTAACTACAGCCATTTGTACATTTAAATTGGTTTGTTTCTAGATCTCTTAAATTTCCAACATTTACTTGCTTTATTACATATTAAAAAATGTAAATTGAAAACTTAGAAATGAAGAATTTAAAGCTTAAGAGGATAAAAAATTTAATAAACCCACTTAGTTCTATAAAACAGGGCCACAATTTCTATACCATTTAATGCTGTTTCGTAACTCTTAATCGACATGGACATACCGGCATGTTTCAATTTCCCAAAGTTGCTCTGCAAATCACAATTGGAAACAAATACATTACCAAACAAACATTCCACTACAACATTTTTTCCAATATATTCATATCTATATAGAAAAGAAACGCATTTCACTGAATTCCTGTTTAACTAAAATTCAGGGAATATGTTTGATTTGGATATGAAAATAGGAGAATCTATTCCAAGTACAGCCTGCAGTAACTCTACTCAATGTGCAATGCAAATTCTTTTTCTGCTTAACCATCAGTAATAGCTGTCCTTATTGGTCAAAGGCATCAGCACTGTTTCAGAACTACAACTACACCCTACACCAGTCTGCAAGGTCAGGAATTGTGAGGTGCTCACGGGAGGCACCATTTGCCTCCAACAAAAACGGTTTTGTCGTCGTTTACTTTTTAGTAAAAATCAAAATAGCAGCTAATATTCAGATCAAACAATGTGACTGAGCTGAATGAGTTTTATTTGACTTTTCTCTGACAAGACAACATGTAGGTTAAGTATGACACTAAATAGTTATGTAAATGCATACAAGAAGAACCACGTGAACTGCATGGTAAACCTAAGCAGAACATTGCCGAGAATTGTCTGTTCAATCTGATCAGAATTTGATGACAACTTGTTCCTATTTTCTTCACCTTCGACTCTGAATGTTTTGTTACAATAGCTCAGCTGCTTTGCCAAGGCTGCAAGTGACACACACCGTTGATTACAGAGAATATTTCTATTTACAGCACCTTCATTACTGGTACCATGGAAATAATAATTGTTAGGCACACTGATTGGTCACCGATTCTTTCCTCTGCTGATGTTTTGTGTATCATAACATTTGGTAAGCACTGTTTCTAACAGAAGCCTGAGTTCATTTTCTCAGACTCAGGTAGAATGTGAAAAAATTTTTCCAACCATATCTGCAGCAGTTTTTGTCCAGCTGCTCTCTACCTTAGGCTGCGCTGTGTTTCCCACTTGTAAATCATACTTACACTGCAGAGAAGGAATAAAAACGTGGAAATATCTAAGCCTTTGTTCTGTAAATAAATTAAGGCCACCTGACAGAGCAAGGACTGCTAATTACCGACAAGTAGGCAGCACTGAAGACTTCTCCTATGTGATGACTAGATGAGAAGTCCAGAGGTGCTGAACCATTACACCTTAGCAGCTTACCCTGCTGTCAGGTACTGTGCAAAGTAAATTTTGCTATCCTTGCTTTTGTTCTGACACTTGCTATTAAAAAAAATAAATAAATAAAAGAACAACCCAACCGATTATTCAGCTTTTACAGGAGAGAACCTTGAACTAGGAGCACTGTGCACTGTTGCAATAGAGTCTGTGTAGTGTAGATCACCTGAGTATTTGTCATAAACTGACATGAGCTAAGGTTCTGGATCTGTTGATTTTTGGCAAGGAAAAAATGCACTAAAGTCCTGCTAGCTTTGATCCACACCATTAAGTCTGCCTGCAGGAGTTATTTCACCTTAGAATATTTCACACAGAATACCTGCAACTTCACTGTTCATACTAGTCTTTCAGGGTAAGGCCTCAAGCTAGTATCCTGAATATGGGAGCAGGAAGAAAGAATGTTTTTAATTAGCACACGACATTATACTTTAGATTATTTTTTTTTTTCTCAGATACCAAATAGAAAGTAACCCCAAAAAACAGCACCAATTCATCTACTTGTCTGAAATGCAAAAATAGAATTACAATGCAGCAAAACGGAAAACAAACCAATACATCATCCTCTCATCTCCTTCTTAAGCTAAATAGTAATCTTCCAGTGAAGAGCCCGAACAAAACCAGAAGCTAATGAAATAGGAATTAAAAAACAAGTGCATAAACAATATCAGTGCAGCAGCAAAATATACAGTCATCACTAACATTTCAATTCACCCCACTGCCAACATTTTTGTGCAATAAGAATTGGCCGTGTGCTGGCCAATACAACAAGCCTCTCTTTACTATTAACACAGTCATTCTTCACTTCAGCTATTTCTGCTTGTTTAAAAAAAAATAATAATAATTGAATACAACTGGTGCAAAAAAGACTGCATTTTATAAACACAAAATTATGGTGCAAATAAAGTAAGAAGGAAATATCACACCCTTAGCGACGAAAGAAAATGTGAACTGGTTCCTATGGCTGAACTCAGAGGTTATGAGGGCAGGGTTTAGTAACATACTTTATCTTTATTAATACTGGCTTAAGTCTCTCATTATTTCAGAGGTAAAGCCAAGCAGCTGGGAGGAACATTTCTGTTGAGATATTAAATTTCACTACACTTTAGTTGTAAAGTTTGAATACAATCAGAGGAACCATAAAAAGTCTTCTTGATAGGTTGGGCTCTGTGCTTTGTGTTCTTCTTCTCAACCTTCCCTCAGTTGCCAGAGCAGTGGATATGAATCCAGACTTATCGATGCAGCAACAAGGCAGGATTGTCTACCCGCTCGCTGGGAACAACCCGAACCTTTGTTGCATGAACTCCACTCTGTTTGCGTTTTCTCTTACGTTGCATATGAAGATTAGGGGTAAGGAGGAGGCTTAGAGAGACAGTTGAGAGGGGCACACTGAGAGCTGGAATGTGGCTGCTCTTCTGGAAGAGCACTAGGACTGAAAATCAGAAAGAAAAACAAGTGCTTAAAATACACGGCAAAGTTTTACGCGCAGGTAAGTTGATCAAGGCTGGAAACAAACTCTAAAAGGTGAGGGAAACTCATCTCTAAATCTGCATCCTTAGATACGCAGCATAAATAAAGAAAATCCCCAGCATGCACACGTGGAGTGACACCTGGATGTATGACATGAAATGCTGCACACAGCCTGCTTGACAGTTCACAATACGCACACAATACTGCTGTTTGCATGCTCTGATGAAAAATGCTCTGTAGAGAAATGAATGCATTTGTGAAAGGGGGAAGCAAATTTGAAGGGCAAGACACACTCTTTATATGAGGGTTAAGAATTATTTATTTATACACAAATGATTAATTGCTCTAGGAGAGTGCTAATGTGGAAGTCAGGTTTCATCATTTTGTGAAAACATTGTCTTTTACTGAATGTGAGCTATGAACTATGGCATTCAAATAACTACAGTCTGACCTTCCTCATCAGGCAACATAAACACTCTGTATTTTGTAATCAAAACTTTCCAAGAGTTTTTGTTTTACATGTTTGAATTCTCTTCAGTTCTGTCTTTTTCTGTTGTTGACTATTTTTCATGAACAACTGTTCCAATGATAGCATTCATCCCTCAAGCCTCTACGCACGCAATTATAGTGTTCCCTGTCATATGGTACAGAGGGGTCTGAACCAGCTTTCAATAAATCAGACGTGGGTGGAGTTGTGGTCTATTAGTGGCAGCACAAAGACAAGGGGCAGCTAACATGAACACACCCCCACGCCTTGGTGCAAAGTTCCGTAACATTCAAGCAAAGCTTCAACTACACAGCTTTGCTCACTTAGCTCAGCAGTGTATACTGTGCAGCAGAGGGCAATGCAGATGCTGCTCAAGTGAGCCCCAAATCATTCCTCAGCCTTGGCTCATCCTGTTTTATGAAGGTGAACTTCAGCTCATCTAGCTGATGCCAAGCTAAGTGTCAGGCATTAAACTTTCAAGGTAAGCATATGGCAAAGCAAGATTCCAAAGCAGAATACAAATAAATGTAATTTATTCAAAAAATATGACTGGGAGTAGGTTTTTTTTTCTTAATCCTTCAAACGTTCTATGGTCTTGAAGTTATTCCAAGTTCAATAGTGTGATATATGATGAATCACAATCAATTCACAGCCCCATCTTTAAGAAAACCTGCTTTTTTTCCACTTTCCTTCTTTAAAAAACATGCAAATTATCTCTGCAGTACAGACTGTCGAGTGCTGGCTGAAGGCACACAATTAGTCTATTGCTGGAAACGAATCAATCTGAAATGCCAGCGGTATTTGAAAGTCTGCCATTGGAAATGCCAGCAGTACTGAAAATGTCTGCAGTTCCACATATAGGAAACAAAGAAACGGCACTGCACTTCCCAGAAGACACAAACAAGTGTGGGCTACTGCCATTAAGAAAGGAGATGGCAAAGCCCAGGTTTTAAATCAAGGGCGTTGAGGAGATTATGCCCCAAAAATCCATAGGTACTGCAATTCAGCAGGAGTTGGAGCCCCTGCACCTCTGGTCCTCTTTGAAGATCAGAAACTTGCAGGTCCCTGCCCCTGAAGATGAGCTGCTTGATTACAAAATGGCTGGTGAGAGTGAGTTATAGGAGCTCAGGACCTCATAGGTTCCATTTTGAAGTTGGCTGCGTAAGTCAGTCCCAAAGAGTTGACTGCTTTTTCCTAAAAAAATTCTATTCAGTTCTATGACTCCTCAGTTCATGTATCATCTAAAACTAACCACCTAGGCATAAATATTCCAGTCAAAAAATATGTTCTTGAAACTTACTAGGTGAGCTTATTTAATCAAACACCCTGTGAAGACACCAAGCCTGTGTTCTCTAAGTATTTATTTCCACGGCTGTAATCATCTGTTTGTTCTGTCACATTCTGCACCATACCAATGCAGACAGAGAATCTGAAGAGGGATCTGAGAGATCTTTTCCTACTCTTCTCAAATGAGTCTGTCTCAGGAGTGTCAGGAGATGGATCCAAAAGGTCTGCATTTACTCTAGAAGCTATCCACTCATGAAGAGACATCTCCAGGCTTCAGCACCTCCTAAGCTTTCAAGGTAGTCTTTAAAAAAGCACTACTAAGTCCTTCAGAGAAATAAAAGCAAATTAAAACTTTAACATGGCACATGTGGGGAAGGCAAACAAGATGGTTGTGTTACTCTAGAAAGACAGCCTTGCTCTCCTCCATTGCTGCCCCATTTCTTTTTTTTTCTTCTTCTTTTTTTTTTTTTTTTTTTTTCCTCGAAAGAACTCCTGTAATTGTCAGAAAGGAATAGAAACTCAGTGTTTTCCTTTCTCATTAGCAGAGGTATGTTTGTCTTTTGGGGCTTTCTTCCCAGCTTTAAAAATAAACAACATAAGAAGTTCTTGCTTCAGTGGAGAGGACTGGTGAGAAAATGGCCATACTTGGGACTAGTTATGTGCAGTAATGACCTGAAACAGGACCTCTGACACAAGTAGACTTTTCCTCTAAACACATTCAGTCTCATTACCATTATGGCATCAGTTTCAGCACAAAATCAACCTTGACTGCAAATACTGTAATAAAAACTATTCCAGAATATGCTCTGTTTAGGAAGTACTATACTTAGAATTACATCCTTTTTTTTCCACAGTTACTGTGTGTGGCTTCTCACTTTCAAATACAAGTATACTTCTGTCCACAAAAGGAATTGAAAACTTTGTCTCACCATTCCCTTTTCAACCGATAATAAATACTAGGGGCATTGAGAAGAGAAAAAAAATTACAAGGTTATCAGTACAGGTACCTTTGCAGCAACATATATACACCCATCACTTACAATCCTAGTAGGTTTGACTCTCATCATAACACTCTACTGCTGTGCCATCCTCCTTTCAGGAGAACAATACACCCAGTTGGGTTATGCAAATCACTGCAGCACTATCTAAACAAAAATTGCATTATCCATCAAGCAGAACCAGCAAGTGACACATGGCATGCAGGGTGCTTTTTATGGCAGGACAGGTGATGGTGGCAGCAGGTCCTGGAGCTCAGCTATCAGGCATATTGACAGTTACAGGCAGTAGAGGGTGGCAGGTGAGATTAGGAACATGAAGCAACAGAAAGACATGGAAGAACCTAAAGCTGTTGGCTACTAAGTGAGAATAAGAATATTGTTACATTTCTGCCCAAGGATATCTGATGCTTTTTAAACATTTCTGTAATCCTTTCTTTAAAGGCTGCCATCATTTGGGAAGATATCCATTCAGTTGGTGAATATGGCCCATGTAATTTTTCATGTTACTATTATTTGTTTTTAATCAGCTCTCTCCCCTCCCAAAACTCACAAAGCTCATCATATAGTTCTAAAATCAATTGAAAATTATCATGCAATGCTCTTTGGTGTTAGTAAATATTGTGTTGTTTTCTTAAAGACATCATTCACATGCAATATTTTCTGGCATAGGTTGTAACTGTAATGAATCAGCAATGGAAAATACAAACAGACCAGTGATATATTCAGAATGCAACCCTTTCATGTGCATCTTTCCTTATTCAACTTTAATCTTATTTTCTTAACAATTAACCCTATTTTTTATTTCCTATTTTACACGAAATGAAATTATAATTTATTGCAAAATAATGAATGTTGGTTTCATTTGCAGTATCAGGACTTTTGTTTCTGATTGTTTTTTAGACAACGTGGGTCCAGCATGTGATCCAAAGACAGACACATTCTTGTAAACATTGGATGACAGTATTAGTTTAGTCTTGTGCAATATAATACATCAAACAGACAGCTACTGATGCTAGGAAGGGGTGAACACCATCCAGTACTTTTCAGGGTAGGCCTACGTCTGGTTGCCTGCCCACAGTTCTGGACATAGAAACTGAGGTGAGGCATGGAATGCAGAGTTTAGATTCTCACGCATTGATTCATCAGTTTCCTTTGAAAACCTCTAACAAAAGGTTCTCCTAGATTTTCCAGACCAGGTTTTAGCAGAAACATGCAGGCATGAGCAAGAAGACAGATAGATGTACAGCTAATCAAAGTGACTAGATGACTGGAATCAGCACACTTTCACAACTACTGTGAAAAATCAAGAGATGCACAAGTGCCATTTAAAACTCAGCATAGATATTGGATGAGGAAAGCTCTCTGTGTTTAATGTTAAAGTTCAGAGCGGACCTCTGTGCTACCTCAGAACAAAATAGTTTGAACACCATTAGGCATATAGCAGGATGTGGGAAGTTTCTTTACAAGCCATCTCTCGATCCTAGGTGAAATGCCATTGAGATGTCACATGACTGCAAGAATGACAGTAGAGACTTAAAAAACAAGCATAGCTCTCTCTTAAAATGGGTGACTTTAGGGCTGGACACAGCTTTAACATAATACCTTCCTCATCTGACATCACTGTATGATTGAAAGCAGTTGTGCTACAGCAGGAGGAACTCTAAAAGGAGGAGGAAGGACATCACAAGCTGCTGCCTTCTTCCTCTCCTGGGTATAGAAAACCTGAACAAACTCACCTAACTGGTTCTTAAAAAGCCAGCGATTTTCACTGCAGATTTCAATCATTTCATCTAAAGCATTCACAAACTCATACCATCATACTCTCTTGCACCAGGTCTGTTATGCTTCACTGCTTTACAAGGCTACACAGCTATGTGGCCAAGACAAGGAAGGCATCAGTGTTGATATATAAAAAATACTACGGTGCTTTTTCTTAATCAAAAGAGTACCAATCTAGTGGTAAAAATTACAGTCCTTTGGAGGTCAGTAGTTCAGATAAGTATAGCAGTATGTCTTCTTTGTAGAATGACCAATCTAATTTTTAAAAATATTAACCATATTACAAAATTAACCATTTTATGTGCCATTGTATACTCTGATTTTATTTGGAAACATGCCAAAAATGACTTCTTGACCAATATATCCAGTAGCTAATGAGATCTTTCTAACTGAGGAAGCACTCAGGGATAA